GATATATACTCGTAATATCGATGTTAATACGAAAAATATCGTATACGCTTATCGTACAAAAAATATAACCCTATGTACTTTGTTTTCCCTTATGTTACGAATACAACGAATAATTTGTTCGATATGATAAAGCGATCTCAATACCATTATTGCCATTGATTCGTATAAAACAATTGTATAAATTGTTAGCTATTTTATATAATTGTATTGTATAATTGTTAGCTAATTGTTAGCTAATAAAAGTGTCGCTTACGTAGAAGAAAATCTCTTTGACAATGTTCTCGCTAAGAATTACGCTCTACTTAACCGAATTAAAAGAAACTTTATCTTTGTTACGTTGGTGGCACCGTGATTCTTTTCAATGAACAAGAGAGATTACCTTTTCGGATAAAGAAACGCTTCGAGAATACAGAATATCGTATAATTTCATTCGACGTTGCAATAAAAATTGAATCGAATCGTTGTACTAGAAATAATTACTTCGTCGATATCTTTGTTTGAAAAATTTTATTTTTTTCTCGCGAAGAAATCGTATTATCGTTGATCGAAATAAAGTAAATAAGTATTGCAATTCGATCAACGATAAACGCTTAAAAATAATTGGAATATAGAAGAGTTAGCTAGATTTCGTTTTATAAACTCGTGACATCGTGAGCTCTTCGATCTCAGATCGTTTCGTTGGTAACGATGAACGGTAATTGGTTTGTCGGAAGGACGTTGATCTAGACACGAACCGTAAAACTTTTATCCGTGGAATCTCTTATCTTTCATTCATTTGTAGAAGGGATAGAAGGAAGATATCAGAAAGATCTCGGAATTGATACTCTTGTTAAGAGAAGCAACCGTTCGTTTATTCCTTCTATCGAATCCTTACACGATTGTTACAAGAAAAGGAACATTACGAAGAAACGATAAATTTAATACAACAACGGTGATACGATTCGACGTAGGAGAATACGAAGGATGCGTTTGAACAAATAGGAAAAGCTATATTTATTTTCGTTGATGGAGGCGTCGCGAAAACTCGGAAACTTTTTACTCCATTTTTCTACTGTTTTCAGTATAAACGGATCGTCGTTCTTTTTTCCTTCTTTTCTCGTAAAACAAACGGCGTCGCGATGCTTCTATTCTTTTCTAATTTAAAACCTTAGTAAACATAATTCCAAAGGCACGTTCTCTCTCTTTCGTGGACGCGTATTTTAATCCTTTTTCTACGATTCGAATCTCTAGAGTTATTTTGAAAAGACTCTGTCATTAGTTTTCCGATAGGTTATTTTCTTATTCATCGGTATGAAAAATTTGAAAGCATTCGTGGAAGCAGAAAAGCACTTTTATTATAACCTACTGAGTTTTACTATCTTACAATCGGAGTTGCTGATATATATATGTGTGTGTGTGTGTGTGTGTGTGTGTGTGTGTGTGTGTAGACGTATTTCCATGTATGTAACCTCAGAATGCGTGCATATTTCAACGCTGAATCTCGTTGCGTACCTTTGACAAAGTAAGAATATGTAAGGTTTCCTATTTCTTTTCGACTTACCTTTTCTTTTGCTTTCGCATTACGTTCTTCGATTTTTCAATTATTTTTCTATTTATATATCGCGAAAGAAATGAATGTACATTTTAATTGGTTCGAGTTAAAGAGAGCTTTTTCTTTTCTTCCGATTCTTTTTCTTTTATCGAAGTAATAGACACAATGGAATAACAAAAGCATTCCAATAATATAGCTCTCCTTCAGTCGAGCAATAAAAGGTGACGCGTCCAGAGACCAGCTTTTCTTTTTCTCAAAAGGAAAATTGGTTGAAAATTGCGTCATCTCTTTCTACAAAATCCACCTGGATCAGTTGTGTCCATCAAGAGAAACAAACGAGAAAGGAAAAGAGAGAGAGAGAGAGAGTATGTGAAGCACCGTGAGAAAAAAGGCTATTCCGTAATTCCAATTACTGGAACATCGTGAAAATAATTACGAGTGCGCCGTGCCTTGAACAACTTTGAAAACACTATGGTGAAAATCAACGATTACGGGAAATGGAAAAGTAACGAAAAAAGATTAGAAAAAAGATAGTGCATAGATAATTTGCGATTAGATAATGAGAGTAATGTTTATCATATGAGTTATATTTTATAAACGATCATCGAATTTCTTTCGAAGCAAGTTATAATAGCGAATAAGAGTTTTATTGTCAAGATAGACAATTATATACGATGGATTCGATTAATTAAATTAATTCGATGAAAAGCTAAAGAATTTGCAAAGTATCAGTATTAAACAACGAAATTGAATATTTTTTTTTCTACGTTGGTTTTGGTTCTCTAACATTGCCTAATATGTATATATATATATATATATATATATATATATATATATACATATATTTTACGTTCTCCTTTATTTTATCGAGACGCACACTTTGATATGGAAATGAGGAAATTGAGAATTCGAGAGGAAAATATTGAAGAGCTAACTTTTCAGGCTACGAGTTTTGACATTTTTTAATATTATATAGTATCATCATTCCCGGGGGAAAGAAATGTATTCCTGTTTATCTTTTATCGTAATAATTGGTTTCTATATCTCAGACATACAGAGAGGGAGAGAGAGAGAGAGAGAGAGAGAGAGAGACAAAAAGTTAAGCCGAAAGAATAGTAAAGAATAACGATATTGGTTGTATTGGATACCGAGTATCGTCGTAGAATACGCCGGAAGGTATTTCAATGAAGTTATTACGAGAATCGTCCATATAACAGAGATGGTAAGCTAGAGTAAATAGAGATAGAATCTTTGCAATTCGTTATTTATTATGCTCCTTTAATATAGTTCCACGATTAAAAATATTTCTAACGTTTTGGCCGTTCTCCCTTTTCCTTCCATTTGTTTCTTTTCTTTTAAATCTGTCACGACACGACTATTATGGTCTATTACTCACGACTTTCGTCCAACAAAATCTATGTTGGATCGATTGATTCAAGTTCGTTGAACTGTATATAGGAAGTCTTGTCTCAGAAATTCCGACTATTTGCTTTGAAGATCGTAAAGCGATAAAGCGTGACACGAGGTACCACCGAAACCTTGATTAATCATCGTCTAAATCGTTATCTGAAAAGAGTTGGAAATATAAGGAGTATATATATATATATATACATATATATACTTATGTACTTATTTGAATGGCATATAGCTGACTCAAGATAGATACCAACGATCAATGTAAGAAGGGAAGCGTTACTTTGAAACGACAGAAACGAGGGATGGGTCTCTCTCGATGGGCGGGTAGTCGCCAAGGATTATCGATGCGATGGTCACGGTAAAAGTTTCTCCTAACTACTCCTAACGCCTCCTGATGGATAGCCTTGAGAGAGAAAGAGAGAGAGAGAGAGAGAGAGAGCTTTTAAATGCGTCTATACAAAGAAGACCGTGTTGCGCGCGTGGCTATGGAAAACAGATAATATCTACTTTCGTTGCCAAGCGAGAAATAATTTCAAGCACGTATTTGCGATAAACTGACGGATTACGACAAGTTCGAATTAAAAAGAAAAGAGAATCGCAATTTGAGCATATTTTACGATAGTAAATAGGTGTATATCCTATAGATGCATTGGGCATTGGTTCGAAATCGAAACAATGAGTTTGGCATATTAAATATAGTGAAAGATCAAGAAGATATATTTTTATTGATATTTTTCTTGAGACCATATGGCGTAAATGGAAAAGTATTGTAAATCGTAAAATATCGATATAAATCGTAATCATAAGAAAAGGAAAAGCGTTCGATGCGTCGTTTGAAATCTGTCGGATGAAACGTATGTATTTGGAATTCGTTAGGATAGTTTATAAAGAGAAAATGAAGGTATAAATAGGTGCATTAGTAAACGTTTCGCGATCGTAGGACGTTGCTTCGCATCTCGCAGTTCGACGAACGAAAAGTAACGATCGTTACGGACGAGTCCGATGGCATCGACCCCGCGGCAAGGGAATATACAGAGGAGAACATTTCTAACGACACTTTCATACTCGAGTCAGCTTCTATTCCCACGATTCCCTCGATAGAAGTTATCTCATGAATATTTTATAAGGCCGTACGACCGATACAAGGATCCCTCGATTAGCTATGCATCGTCCGTGCATCATCTCAACGATTTCTCCGTTCGCGAGATGTTTTCGCATTTTTCGACTTTAACGTTCATTAAAAGGTTTGCAACTACGACAGTTGGTACGTTAGCATGTTTACCTATGCTCTTGGATATGTCGTTAAAAAGGTTTAAAAAACGTCTAGGACAATTTTTTGCGCCGATCTTTCGCGTTTGATATTTCTAGCACATGCGCAGGGGCGCATTAACCACGTTACGACTTTTAATTTCGTATGTACCTAAGTGCTTAACAATTTTCGTCAAAGAGAACCAGCTGGAGTGTAAACGAATCGTCGGTAAAACGAAATATCGTACTTTGCGGAATAATTGGATAATAATTATCTCTTCTATTAGCTCGGCCAAACGTTACCTTCTTTTTCATTTTGTTTGTTCGTCCGGTTCCATTGATATCACGCGCCATTACTCTCATTAAACTCAATGTTTGACAATGATGATGCAGCGACAAAAGCGAGCATTATTTCACGGTGGTCGCGTAAAAAAAAAGAAAAAAATCTACCAGCAATAAGTAATATCGTTTTGAAGAGAAATGAAGGAACCTGAAAGAAGATTCGGATAGTCGATCCTATTTCTCGCTATTACGATGGATGTAATATTTTCACGAGGATTGCGTTTGTTTTCGAGGTAGTGCACCTTGACGCAGCTTTTGCTCTCTTCTCGTCGTTTATAACGAACGCGGTAGTTCGACGAGCGCGATCTACCCTCGGGCTCGCTCCGCGCGCCACGCGCGCTCCCTCTCGTCGTCAAGCGGCTGTTTCGTGCGGATTGCTCCTGCGCTCTGGGATGCTGCGAGATAAGCAGCCCCGCAGCCCACCCGCAACCGCCCCCCACGTCGAAGGACGACGCGAGAACAGCAGTGAGAGCCAGGCCGCCGCCATAGCCGCTCCCCGGGCAACGAAGGAGGAGAAACCGTCGAATTTTCTCTCTTTTTTCTCTGTCTGTCTGTCTGTCTGTCTGTCTATCTATCTATCTATCTATCTATTTATCTATCTATCTGTCCATCTATCTGTCTTTCCGTCTATCTGTCCGTCTTCTTTCTCTCATTTACTTTTTCTGTCTTTCTCACTCCTTCCAATCTCTCACGTCAAACAGCTCACCGCTCGCTCGTTCGCTCGGTTACTTTCATTTCTCTTCCTCTTCCTCTCTTGTTCACTCTTACTCTGTGTTCCTCTTTTTCTTTTTCTATCTTTCTCTCTCTCTCTCTCTTTTTTCTCTCTCTCTCTCTCTCTCTCTCTCTCTCTCTCTCTCTCTCTTTTACCCCTTCGGTCGTGCGTGCGTGCAGTGCGTGCACGTTTCTTGCTCGTATTTGCGCGTACCGTTTAACGTGTCATCAATCGTACCGATCACGCTCCATTTATGATACGCGTTTTTACCATTGCAAAAGGATTTTCGATAGGAGCAATATAAAGGAAAAAGAAAAAGAGAGAGAAGGGCGAGAGAGAGAGAGAGAGAGAGGGAGAGAGAGGGAGAGAGAGAGAGGGAGAGAGAAGTAGAGAGAGAGAGAGAGAGAGAGAGAGAAAGAGGGCTGGCTAGTGCGTCAAAGTGTATTCTGCGAAAATGTGATCCGGAACAAAGACGTGGTGCGAGGAGCTTACGTGTCGACTAGGTGAAGTGTCGAAAGGAAGAGTAACGCCGCGCGCGAGATGGTGCGCGATAAACTCATACGTCGTACATATCCCGTCGATGCGACGAAAACTTGTTAGATATATACGACAATCAATTCATGGATTTTCCTGCTCGAATAAATGTTCGGAAGAAGTAAACGAGCGAGCGAGCGAATGAACGAACGAACGAAAGAAAGAAGAGGACGTGGAGTTCGGACACGTGTCGAATACCACGAGCCAAGCAACCCCCTATCGAAAGATAAGGGAATCGAGATTAACGGCTGGGCTGAGGGTTGACGGGGCGATCGGTGATGCTTGGTACATCTATCTACGTTTACGATACTTTCTGTTTTTTTTTCTTTTCTTTTTTTTTTTTTTTTCTTTTCAGGTCAAAACGCGAAAAGGAAGCGCGCTACGCGCAAAAACTTTTTCTTTTATACTTTTTCAAACCAACTAGCGACTTTGTCGATTTTCTCCCTCTCTTTTTTTCTAACCTGTCGGTAAAGTACTCGCTAGGCTTTTCGCGTGAAGGAGTGGAAAGTTCGGCCCTCTTTAAGGAGGCGTTCCCGAGTTACTTACGAAGAAGACATCCGAGCTTGCGTGCCCCGAGCTACAAAATATTTACCACGTCCGATCGATGAACCAAGTGGGAGAGAGAGAAAAAGAGAGAGAGAGAGAGAGAGAGAGAGAAAATGTAAATTTGAATTATAGTTGCGCGCGTATTTCAAAGATCCTTTTTGCTAGTAATCAGCCTCTTCCAGTGGAAGAAACAAGATACAAAGGGAACTATACGTGTCATTGCGATTAAGCTTGAATAGCTTAAGAGGAACGATCAATGTCTTATCGTTTCTCGACGCTCGAACGCGTGTCTACGATCGACGTATAGAGAAAAAAGAAGAACTAACATTCGAGTTTTCTCTTTGAGCAACATAGGGACGCATGGAACCACCGTCGATTGCAGTCTTTCATCTCTTTCATGATCCTTTAAAAACGACTATTTAATAAAGTGCGCGATGTCTTTTGTTAAAGTAACCGAGCGTATCGCGTTTCGAGAATCGGGCGCCGATTTTTCAGGCACCCGTGTCGTCGACTCGTTGACGCGTTTCGAAAGGAGCGTAGGTACGTATATAGCGCGCCAATAGAACCTTCACACATAACAACCTGTCTTAGTATGTATGTAATACGTACATAAACGAGCACGTGTGTGCCACACTTCAAAGCGCTCGTTACGTCCTATCCATCCGTTAGATGCCACTCGAGTTATTCACCCCCTCTCCAATTCTACACATATTTTATATTCCCATCCTTTCGATAACGATATACATATTTACGAATCAATCCTATAAATAAAATCCATGCTTCGACGATACCTATTAATTATTCGTAAGAAAGAAAAAGTGATGCACCATGTAAATTAATATACCACGGAAAAGAACGGCTAGGTGGTGAAAGAGAGAGAGAGAGAGAGAGAGAGAGAGACAGAGAATGAGAAGGGGAGAAAGAGAGAGAGAGAAGCCGCTTGGGTCCGGAAATCCGATTAAATGCATTCGGGATGTCGAAAGTCGGTCGCATTAAAACGATCACACTCAACATCATTGAAGACGTCCTTCCGTACTGAAGCATCTTTGGCGCGAGTTCTTTAAACGCTCTCGCGTTAATAAATTCACTAAAGAATATAAATAGATTTGAGTACATTCATGATATATTTATAGCGAATACGAATAAAAAAGAAAGTTAAAAAAAAAAAAAAAAAAAGAAAAACAAGACGAGTATCACGATGACATTTCCCATGACCTCACCGAGCATACTTTTTTGTATTTTTTTTTCTTTTTTTTTTTTTTTTTTTTTTTTTTTTCACGAGAAACCATATAGATATCGATATATGTATACGGGTATTACGATAATAAACGATAAAAAAATTTAATTGAATAAGATATCGAATATAAACTTATTAACGTTAATCCTATTTCATATTCGATTTGGTTAAGTTAAAAAGTCATTTATATAAAAGAAAGGGAAACGAATTTGGAGGGGAGCGATAAGAATCGCTCTCTTTTACCGAATAGGATGTTCGAATATGTTACCCGTTATCAGATCATGCAAAGTATTAAATATCGTTTAACATTTGCCAATCGATATATCGCCGTTCGTCTCGATTTTTATTTTACATTTTTATCGAGTCGGAAAAATTATTTCTTCATCGACTTACGAGTATTATAGTTTCTTCTTAGCCGATCAAGCGTAAAGATCTTAATTTAGCGTGAATTAAAAGAGAAAAAGTTTTACGCGGAAAGAATTGCAATCATTTAAGAAAAGATGCCGCAAGATTCAAAAAGAAAGTTGGTCGTCGGGAATTTCTATTTTCTTTTTCTTTTCTTTGGAAAAGCGAGGGAAGGGGGAGGAGGTAGGAAGAGGAAGCGGGCAGCGAGGGAAATTAAAAATCTCTTCCGTTAAGCAATTTAACCGATTAGCCGTGAAATGCGATAGTCTTTTCTATTTTCGTAGATAGCTGAAAGGAATAATTAAGGAGTGCTAGACGGGGTTTGATTAAGTGGATGAGTGCTCTCTAGGGTTGCGTCTAATAGAAGCGAGCTTTGAGAAGGACGGGAAAGGAAGGATTTTCGTTCTTTGGTGTATAAACCGAAAGGGGAAAAGACTATTCATCTTTGCGTCGTTTAGCTAACCCTAATGAAGCGAAACTAAAGATCACACTTGATCGCCAAACGTTAAGATCCTTCGTCGAAGCCTAAAAACAATGACAAAAATTATCATTGAACTTTGTCTGTGTATGTGTGCGCGAAAGAGAGAGAGAGAGAGAGAGAGAGAGAGAGAGAGAGAGAGAGAGAGAGAGAAAGAGAAAGGCAACAGAGAAGAAAATAATTTGATTTTCTTCGGTAGCTCAAAGAAAAACTCATAGTTATTATTAACTCGGCGATGAAAGGTTTAATTAAAAGTACTACAATCATATATTTTTCTTTTTCCTATATCGTCTTTTAGCTGCGGTGCCAACTCAACGCCATGAAAAATCACAGTACGTATATAACGCTATAAATTGAATTTATAAAATTTTATAGGCCGAAATCTGTGCGGGCAGATTCTTGACCCACCTTGTACTCCATTTCGTTGGATGTCTTCATACGAATAGATATTGACAGATTTTAGCTGTGAAATTTCCTATTGACAATCTCCGTAAAAAAGATATTGCTATGCAAGATGAAAGAGAAAGAGACAGGGATGAAAGTAAGAAAGGGGTAAGGCGCGACTCTCGTTCGGTGTCACACTGAAGTTCCGACCCCGATTATTCGATCCAATTTGCAAACTAAATATTCCTCGGAATTGTCGAGTGTTGAAGCGGTCCATGATGACTCCTTTATCTCTTAACATCTTCTTTATTAAGGATTTCGACACGTCTCTCCCTTTCTCTCTTTCTTTCTTTATATTCATCTTTTAATTTCTGTGCATTTATTAAGCCGGTCGATTTAATCGACGTTTTTCTCCCTTCGTTCAAAAGAAAAAAAAAAAAAACAACAAAGTTTTGTCTTTCTTCGATCTTTTTTCTTTTCAAACGATCGCTTTTTTGTCTCCTTTGAAACAAGCAATCTTAATTTATTCTCAGTCTTTTAAAATCATTTTTATCGTCGATATCATTCACTCGTAAAAAAGTTATATATATATATATATATATATATATATATATATATATATATATGTATATATATATTCATTCGAAAAGGGTATAGAGGGAAAGCGGAAAGTAGGGGGATTGGGATGCGACCTTAGTGGCTTCACTGGGTCATTGGCACGAACGTTGGCTGACGTTGAACGTACTAGGGCGACTCGCGTGACTTCCGGTGCTTAAGCGTCTAGCAATTGACCCTTCGCACCCCGATGTCGCGTCCTCCGCGTACATAACATCGTTGCGCAACGATGCTTTTTCCTATCCTTTTGTTTTCTTTTCTTCTTTTTTCTCCATCAAATTGCAATAACGTCGCAATTTCTACATCATTGCGTTTTATTTCATTATTACGATATCATTATATGTATATATTATTACATACGTAATATTCTAGGTATACGCGATTTAATGAGTTCGTTTTCAAGAGTCAATTTTCATAATTGAAAATCGGAAAATCGACGTGCTGCATTAAGTCGACTCGAGCATTCGTCCTTACCAATTTAATGATCGTTGTTACCAAACGATTTAATTCCGACTTCGTAATCATTACGGTCGTTCGAATCGTTGCATACTCATTTTTTTTTTAAGAAAATCCTTTTGGTAGCTATGAATTTTCTTTTTCTCTCTGTTCTTTTTTTTTCTTATTGCACATTTCACATACGATGTCAAAAGTTTTTAAATCGTTGAAGGTTTGAAAACACGCGACAACCGTCTTTCCGTATATCGGATTTCAGCTACCTATATTTATCGTAATCCACGTTTCTTCCTTGGTATACTTACGCTAGAAACACTAAACTTAGTAACAACGGAACGTAGGAAAAACATTGAATTTCAAAGATACTCGACCTCGTACAGAACTTTCTTCTATGAATTCTTATTTCGATTTGCATGAATGTTTAGAAATATCGTATTTTCAGAAAGAATAGAAGAGGAAAGTATCGAGTGATCGAAGAAAAGAAAAAAAGATTTAGATTTTATTTGACAACTTTTTTTCAACTTTACAGACATCTACGTACTTAAGTAAATACGTACCTAGTTCCATTAACTTCGATCGTGCTTTTCTTTTTTTTTTCTGTTAAATTCTTTTCCTAATCATCTTATCCGTAGCCTTTTTCGAGTTAGGTCATATAATTCGTTTAGAAGTCGCAAGCGCCAAAATAGCAACGATCTCACGCATCTACGAGGTAAGCGCGAGCGACGGAAAACTTTAATCACTTTTATGATTAAAGCAACGCCGCAACATTTTCCATCTCTTTGTACTACGTCATATCCTTTTAAATGTCTCTTCCGTAAGAATTTTTCATATCCAACGTTTTAACTATTAAGGCCTACAAATAATATTTTCTAATCGCCATAGTAAACATTAACAAATGTGATAAGAAAAAAAAAAAGAAAAAAAAGAAAGAAAAATGATAAATATCGAATAATCCGTTTTATCTGTAGGACATTTTGTAGGGTAAAAAGTATAACGGTATTAGGCGATAAAGCGTTTCCTGAAAAATAAAATTACCTGAAAGGATAAAGCTCGGTAGTAAGATGGTTCTTGAAGAATTCCAAGGAGAAAAGACGATAAGAGCGTGCAAGCGCGGAATTCCAGGAAGATCAAGGTGTTTTCACGACGAGGGCTTTCTCCTTATTCAATTTCGGCATTAACCTACGTATCCATATATGTGGCAGCGAGTAGAAATTCCGCAAGATGTCGAGACTTCATCCTGATTAAATTCTCTGATTTATTATCGGCACTATGAATCTTGGAATCGCGAGAGAGTGCAATCATTTGCATAATAGAACCGTATCCCGTAAAAGAATGCTAATTCGACCGAACGAGAATATAGATTTTTTTTTGTCTTAATATGAACTATATCTTAATGAGAAATATTTTTTCCTTTCAAAATGCGACGGTTTTTCTTCGATCGACCTAGAGAAGAAATCGAAAGCTTGTACGTAGCGCGAATTTGGCCAATATTGTTTGAAATTTCGAGTTTAGGCGTTATCTCTCTCGACGTATCTTTCGAACGAGGCGCCGGTGAAAGCGTCGATTCTATGCGTAGAAAGGAGTGAGTTAGAGAGAGAGAGAGAGAGAGAGAGAGAGAGAGAGAGAGCGTATGTGTGTGTTTGTAAGTGTGATAGAGAGAGAGAGAGAGAAGGACGACGTCCTCGTTGCCATGGCGACTCCCGACGAGTTCCGGACAATCCTGGAAAGGTCCGCGAGCGCTGCTAAATGCCCTAAATAATACAACTTCGTCGTCGACTTGCTCCTTCTGGCGCCTCTGTTTTAACCTTTTCCCCACTATTTTTGGATTATCCTTGACGACCTTTATCCCTCCTCCTCAGGTCCTCCTTCCAGCGATTTGAACTACCCTACAAATAACTTATATGAAACATTTTGCGTGATAATAAAGAGAGTATATAAGAAACTCGAGTGGTCTTAGAGGAAATGTATTTGAAAGGAGAGAAGTATCGGGTACTTCTTCTTTTTTATTTTTTTTTCTCTCTCTCTCGATATTTTTGAAACGCAGGTAAATACTTTAGGAATTCGTAAAGGAACGTCAAAGAGCTTTAGCGCGATTCATTGGATCCGAAATGCGATCGCATTACTATCGTATCGGAAGCTTTACTTGCGCGTTAATCCGTTAAAATTAGGTTGAAGTAGCGCAGTCACTTACAACGTTATTCGCATATTCTGTGATCCTCTCGAAGAGGCTTTGCGCGAACTAAAATGGTCAACGATCGGTCACTCTTTCTCTCTCACCCTCTCTGTACGATTTATTTTGAATAAATTTCGATGTCGATCTCTATAAGCCATGATGAAAAAAAGAACAGAAAAAAAAAATATATATATATATATATATATATATATATATATATATATACAGCGTTCAAAGGGAAATAGTCCTCGCGGATCGTGTAGGGCGAACGGAGCGTAATAAATGGGGAACGAATAAATGCGTAATAATCGAGGAAGAAATAGTGGAGTGACATTTTTGGCGAATGATTCGCAGAACCTCGAGAACAAATTCAATTTGTTTGTAATTTCAAGTAGAAAGTTGGAAAACGCCACGCGTGGCATGGAACGACATGGTGGGACGAGAGATGCCGGGCGTCGATAATCTCTTTAGTGCGTGTAAACTCGTGTACGTCCCACACTCAAACGATCCATTAGCGTGTCGGTAGGTGTTCTAATAAATGTATCGCGCGAGAACCGAATAAACAGGCTTCGCGTTTACTCGCGATAACCGCGATCGATCGATAGAGAAATTTCCGAAAGTGTCCGAAATTAATATTACATCTCAGGATATTCGCATTCGAGAAAAATCTTTTTTCTTACGTATTGTCTTTGGATAATTATATTCAACGCGAATCTTTCAATTTATTTAGACCGTCGAAGAAGTCCAATTCGATTTTGACGCTCGAAATACGTTTGAAATTTTGTTGGAAATTTTGCAAAACCCACCACGAACTAGTATCGTAACGATAGAAAAATTTTAAAAGACGTGTGCTCTACGAGAAATGGAAGTGGAGTAAAAATGTGAATCGTAATAATAAAAGCGGGTCGTTTCGTTGCCTTCCGACCAAGCATGCACGTTCGTCTTCTGCGATTTGAGAAATATGCTTCTCTGAAAAATGGTTATCTTTTTCTTCCACTATGCCTCTACATTTCTCGACGACAAGACGCAACGTATCCCGCGATTATTATATCTCTTATTTGGTTTTGTCGCATAGAACGCCAACCTTGCATTTACGAGAATGAGGAGAAGGGGAGAATCATAAATTTTCTACCGTCCTTTGTCGCATCCTCAGACTTGTAGATCGTCGAGATGAGAACGTTAAGTTGTCCGTAATTTCGTAGAAAAGCGACTCTTCCGTTGATTCTTTTGACATTTTTATGCATAAGTCGAATGACATTAGCCATTCGGTATGTTTGACGGATAAATGGGCATAAAGTGGACATAAAGTGGACACGAAGTGGACATAAAGCTGCAAGCAAACAAATTCTTTTATAAAATTTTGATATTTTTTGAACGCTTGTCAGACGTTTTCGCGAAGGAAAATTTTGATCGATTATTCGCGACGATGTTTTCTCTCTCTTTCTTCCTTCCGATAGGATTTCTTTTTTAAAGATCGTTAAGATGTTAGACAATACGACGAATCGTATAAAGTCAGTATCGACGTTGAATTCCAAGAGTGCCGAGACGATTATGAAGAGACGCGGTAACAATCGAAGCTCTCGATCCGAGGGAATACTCGATACTTCGATCTTTCACGCTTTTGACTCACTTTGCACATTCTTCCTTGCGTATTTTCCATTGACCAATATACTTTTCCTATGAAATGTTCCCATTTCTATGAATCTCGTATGCACCTACGAGAAAGAGAGAAAAGATATATTTCGTTTTATTTTTCTATTCAATTCATGTAAACTCTTTCGTATTTAAGATTTAAGTCTTTGAAACAAAAGTTTGAAACTCCGTTCGAGTTTCTGCGTTAATCCGCTTTTCTTTTTCTCTTATAGACGTGAAGAGGATCGCGTAGGTCGTCCAAGCACGAAATCTAGCGCGCTTCGTCGAAGGAGCGGTAGATGCGCGAGACACTTGTTGCACGTTGCACGACTGCTAAGAAGAGGGAGGGAGAGTGGCTTGGAGGGTGTTGCGAAAAAAATCCAAAGTCGGTGAGAGAGAGAGAGAGAGAGAGGTAGGGGAGATAGAAAGAGATAGGAAGGAGAGAAAGAGAGAGAGAGAGAGAGAGAGAGAGAGAGAGCGGAAGAGATGTCGATCAATCGCTCGAATCCGTTCTTCCATCGTACTTCCCTTCTCCAATCGTTGAAGGAGAGATCCTTCGCTTTTGGCCATCCTTGAGAAAGAATCGTATTTTCAAAATCACGTTCCCGAAAAGATCTCTTCGGTGATCTGTTCGGCTAAAGTGGTAGAAGACCATCGAAGGGTTGGTTCTAAGGATGAACGGAAGAAACGCGACAAAACGATACGGCCGGTGACAGCGGTGGTGAGGAGGCATCAGCCGGCAGCCATTCTGGAGACGAAAAACAGGATCTTCGCATCCTCGTCGGAGCCGTCCTATTTGGCCGGCCGTTTCGTTTGGAGGAATAAGAAGAGAAGAGAAACGAAGGAAAGCTGGATCACCTACGTGGAATGTCTTCGGGCGCCAAGCGACTGGTGCAGTCGCTTAGGGGCCGAACCAGTGGTGGTGGTGGTGGTGGTGGTGGTGGTGGTGGTAGAAGCATCGGCGGTGGAGGAAGCACTCGTTCGGATGGCATCGTCGGTGAAGTTAACGTCATTGGGTCCGCCGGTTCTAGCACCAGTGCGACCAGATTGTGCCATTATGACAGTGGCCACGAACTCGACGAGATCTCCGTCGTCGGCGGTAGCGTCGCCGTTACCGGCGGCGTTGTCATCGGACCTCTTCCCACTCCCACCACACCTTGCCATTGCACCACTCACAAATATGGCAGCGGACAGACCCTTTACAGCATCGCCGGTCTCCCTCCCGCCCCCGCCGCACCCGCTCACAGAGCTCACTCCGGTAAGTTCATACGATTTTACGAACGGAATATTCTTGTCTCGACGAAAATCTACTTCTTCCATAGAAACCGAATGAATACGTCGATCGGATTTGATATATTATCGTAGATAACGTTTCTTTGCTCGCGTACCCTTTTCATTCGCAAGATCAGCGTTCCAGCAAAGAACTCGTACGATAACGTACCTTCCTTTGTACTTAACGAGAGTACCTAACGAGGGCGTGGTCGAAACGCTTGTAAGCGCGTAAAATTATCTGTCATAGTTGTTCTCGATGCGAAGGACCAAGGGATGGTATATATAAATATATATATATGCATATAGTATATTTTCTTTGTTCCATTTTTCGAATCCTATATAAAATATTAATTCGATCGAAAATCAAAATAAGAAGATTGAAAGGGATCGTAAAACGTTTGGATTTTTTAAGATGATCTACGAAAGAAATAGAAAAAATGGAAATAAATAAATGACAAGGACACCGAAAGAGATTGGTGTCAATTTCAAAAGGACTCCGGTTTAAAATTCATAAACGCGCCATTCAAGAGCACGCGCTCATCCGACTAGAAAATATTTCGCTCTCGAAGCTTCTCGCTCCGAGTCGAGTTACCGCGAAATCGGAAAGTGATCGATTGTACATATAGTATAACTCCGGTCAAATACAACTTGATTTCACGATCGCCGTTAGACAAGAACGGATGTTTGTTCTCTTCGTTGGTACCGCCATGCGTGGCGATTCCACGATCGGAATGCAGAATGACCGGATTAACAACGTTAACAAGGGGCATTAGATAGCCTATAATCGAAATGGGAGAGCTTACTAACGAACCCGTTATCGATTCAGTCCAGTCGTTACGATTAACGACGCATTCGATGCGAAGAATCACCGAAGAGCTAACGCGATCGACAACCGAAAGATCGATCCATCGATCGATCTATATATGTATATATATGTATATATATATATATGTATATATATATATATATATATATATATATATACATATATATACGAGATCGATCGATCGATCCTATACAGTTTCGAAGCGAACAAAGTTATTTCCGACGCATTCCGAAATAGAACAGATTGATCGGTCGAAGGTTTTCACGGTTGAAGATCGAACGCGGGCAGAAAATGTTGCGATCCATCCTTTCAAGATTTATCACGCGTCTAAACCGCAATCGAGCATTCGGTCGAATTCATTTTCGGGTTTGGCTTTAACAAAGCATACTATCTGAACGACCCATCGAATTGCTATCTTTTGGAGAATTTCAAATGGTTCGAAATGCTGGATCAACCAATCGTTTCGATTCGATATCGTTTCGATCAGCCGATAACTTCCTCGATCGATTTACGTGTGTACACCGAAATTCCGATCGAGTTATGTATATATTTCAAAGGTGTCCAATCGTAACATCCATTAGAGACGAGTAATAAAGTATTTCGGAGGTTTATTATTGAGGAAAAAGGAAACCTAATCCGATTAATCTACTTATATATTTTTGATACCATTAGAAAAAGAATTTTGTGATTAGAAAAAGAACAATGAATACTTTCCTGCCCGTCCAGTATTTTCCTTTGACGTTATTCCGATAGCAAAAGACCTCGTTATCTGCGCATACCTATGTAAATTGTACCTATGTAAATTGACCGCGCCATAATATACTTCATGCGAGAGGAAGAGGAAATTTATCGGACGTTAATTAATGACTTTTACTTGAAAATTGCTCGGTATAATCTCTCAAGAAATTCGAACGTTCCCTCGGTATTTTTCTTCCATCCCTTTTTTCCTTTCTTCCCTTTATCTTTTCTTCTCTCTTTTGATTTTCGTAAATACTTTTCATATTTCTTTTGCGTTGGATATTCGAATAATCCGTATTAATTTCTCGGATATTATCCTTCTAATTTATAAGACAAGTCGTGACTAAACATAAATTCTGAGGATCCAATTTTAATACGACACCATATACTTAAAGATGGTGAAAAAGATTGATCGGCACGTACGTAGTTCGACTAAATCGATTTTTGGGTTTGGATGATCGCTAATTTGAATCGTCCAAAGGAGAAGTAGAAAATATCATGGGTGGTAAAACTGACGCCTTTTATGATTGTCAACGATCCGTCGAGTCATGTACTCAATTTTCTACAACGTAAACAGGAATCACTTTCTTTTTTTCGCTCTGTCCTTCACTTTTTTCCCTTTCTTAAAACGGCTTTGTCACTGTGACCTCGTTGATATTGTGGCAGTGTTTGTTGCGAGAAGAGAGGGAAGGAGAGAAAAAGAGAGAGAGAGAGAGAGAGAGAGAGAGAGAGAGAGAGAGAAAGAGAGAAAGAAAAAGAAATCAATACACGAGTGCTGCTATTACTTTAGGATATTGAATACAGTTACGAAGATCCCTTCGTTATAAACGCAACTACCTTTAACAGTGGACCCTGTTATCGTCGTCTCGTACGGCTCTGCTTCTGAAAGCCGATTTATTTTCTCTGCGCGCGTACAAACTGCCTTTGAAATTAATATCGAAACATCGAAGATGTAAACGCGCCTTTATATTCCCTTTGCCTTTGTTCGGAAAATCTATTCCCGAAAGATGAGTTTATATATAACGCGGTGTATAGACTAGCTATCTCGAGCTTAACGTCGTTTGTTCAAAATATCGAATCTAGTTGAAATCGATATCTTAAGGATAGTCTAAAAATAGCTGCAACCTTGCAAAGCGAAATATTCGCGTAAATTTTTATTTCAAAATAATATTATATAGCCACACTGTAAACTCTCACTCTTAACGAATAACAAGGTTGTCCAATTAATTGGCCTTACGGAAATAGTAAGGACAACTTTTGCGACTATATTAAGGTAAAAAGAGTATAGATATAGAATGCGAGATAAGACTCTAAGAGGGTTAGACTCTTCTTCCTAGGGCTCGTTTGTATAAATTTACCTACGAATATAAAAGAAATTGGCTCGATGCCACATAGCATTCGACATTATCGACATACCTATGTATGTTACATGAGACTGTTAGTTTGGGATCGAAATTTTCTTTTCCTTTCGTTCCTGTTTCTTTTTTCTCTGGAAAATAACAAACGTTAGGAAAAAAAGAATCATACATGTTTCCTTATTAATCTGAAAAGATTGGATAATTTTGGCCAATGAAAAGGATCCAAATAGTTTCGCGGTTACTTAAGGTCGTTGGTTTAACCTGGATGAAAAGTGAAAATTCGATCCGTCCGATGGAACGAAAAAACAAACAAAGAAAAATTTGCGACGAGGAAGAAACAAAGGCGAAAAAGGGGATTAAAGGAGAATGGCGCTGTACGCGAAGTACACGGGGACGTGGGGAGAAAGAGTGGGCGGTATTCACGGCGGCATACAACGAGTGTAGAAACTGCTAAAGCTTTAAGCACTCCGGTGACGCTAACGCAACCACAGAGTTTACAAAAGAGTTACAATGTAAAGAGAAGAGACAACATTCGAGGGCGGCAAGTGTATAGTTAGAAACGTAGGATCGGAACTTTAGTGTGTAACATACAAACAAATATCGGTATGTTGTTCGGTTAAAATTGTAAGTCGGGTGACAGGAGGAAGATTCGAGCGATGAGGAGGGTTCGCTAACGCTTTTCTACGAGATATTTGGAAATTTCTGACGAAATGTCTAATGTTATGTTTCGAGGTTGAAATCGCCGTAAGCATTACACGGTATTAGACCGTAGTTCTAAAAGGATTGGTTTCGTTGACGATCGAAAGAGAAACGTCAGGGATTTCGTGGAAGAGTCTGGATTAGCTATCCTAATGATAGGGCATATACCTAGACAAAGTTACGATAGAAGTCACGAAGGGATTAAAGTTGTCTCGGTTTTACACACGGATACGCGAAAGGTTCGCGCCCTACTAGGGAACTAAATTAGCGAACGCAAGGGTATTTAGGGAGAGATAGCTCGATATCGCGAATAGCTATGGCTAAGAGGGGATCGAGGTTACGATAGTTTGACGGAGGTTAAATTGCGGCGAATGGCACAAACAGGAATTAACCTCAACAATTACTCGGCCCTTTGCGGCCTGTAAGGTCAATATCCCTCGAGGTCGACTCGTCTATCGGCTCGTATTATCGTTTAGTCGATCCTCTAAAGTACGTACTATAATATCACCTTCGTCGTGGTTATACTTATTGATATACCTATCTCTCTCTCTCTCTCTCTCTCTCTCTCTCTCACTAGAAGTCTTGTATTCGGTTTTGCGTTGTTTTATCGATCGATGTGCCAAAAAATATGAATTCGTCCGAATGAATGAGGATGACAAGGGTGGTCTCTGGAGGAGAAGGAGAGTGTACTCTCTGAAAAACGACGAAATATCCAGAACGTCTAAACCAAATCTTAGTTGCAAAAGGTTTTATCGTAATACGTGTATTATTCAATTAAAGATATTACATGTTCCTCCTTTACGAGTGTAATCTCTGCAACGGATCGCAGAGAAATGGAGGAAAATTTACGCTTCATAATATTTCTCAATAATGGTTCCCTCCCAGTTTCACGAGCTATCATATGATAGCGTCACCGCAAATCATTCTCGTAATATCGTTATACGATCGACGCTTGCCTACGGCATTTTACAAAGTTCTTTGATAAAAATGATGAAACGCACGAAAAAATAACATACATGGTATATCGATAAAATTCCATATTTATATTTCTCTATCCCTCAAGCATTTAATATTCCATTCTATTAACAATTACTCCATTGAGGAGCTTCGTCGACGGAACAAAATAATGGTGCAGTTTGCTAATTGCACTTCTTTCCTATTATTAATCACCCGCATTCTGAAAACTTACATATATAAATATGTAGATACCTAGTTGTCGCGTGTTTATTCTGTTATTTTCATGCATTACTTGGTAAACAAGGGAAATTTCGATGTAAATACGATCGTAAAGAGATATTAATAAAACGGGAGTATGGAAATAATAACGAAATGAAGTTATTAAGAATGCGAAGCTCGTTAAATTTA